AAGAAAAAGAAGAAGGAGACGGGAGGCAGAAAGAGAGGAAGAAAGGAAAAGAAAGAGAGGAAGAAGAGGAAATGAGGAAACGGAAGAGAAGTAGTGATATATATAAGACTTATACGGACTGAAATCGGTCCGTATAATCCTCATTGGCGCGCCACACCAAAAAATTTAAATTTTTTCGGAAAAATTTCAATTTTCCTGGGAAATTTTTGGCGCATTAATCATATTCAGACCGAACTCGGTCTGAATATAAATAAATTAGCGCATAATCAATAAGATTCAAATTGACAGTAAAAATTTGGTGCATAAATTAATTACGGACCGATTTCGGTCCGAATATATTCGTAAAATATCTTCTAGTGCACATTTTTATTCTTTTCATTTAATTACCATCTTCTCGTTTTCTAAATTCATTCCTGCGAAAACCAATTGCATGTACATCGACCCTACAGTCCCTCGGAATCATAAAATCATCGATTGTCTAGCTGAAATTATCTTTCGATACTACGGAGTAATATCGTTGCAAAACCACGAACGTATAAGTTAAAGGTTATTAGAGATAATGTTACGTAATGCTCTTTCGGAGTAATAAGCAAATAAAATTCATTTTTTTTCTTAAGGTTAACCACTTTCGCTTGCAAACATTCGGAACGTTACGGTTTAAAACAAGAATAGAACGACTTAAGCATAAAATAACAAAAATAAATAAATAAAAGCTGTTGTTGATTGGAATATTCGGACTGATCCCGGTCCGTATATAGATATACGGACCGGGATTGGTCCGAATATAGGCAATCCGCGGGATTTTTTTATCTTAAAGCTAAATTAAATTAAGTATGAATATATACGGACCGATATTGGTCTGAATATATGCAAAGAATCTAGATGCTTCCATGCTTTTCATTTTTCAGACCGATTTTGGTCCGTATATAGTAGAAAAAATCCAAAAACTTCTTCCAATGCACATTTTTATTCTTTTCATTTAAGGACATTACCATCTTCTCGTGTTCTAAATCCATTCCTGCAAAAACCAATTGCATGTACATCGACCATACAGTCCCTTGGAACCACAAAACCATCGATTGTCAAACTGAAATTATCTTACGATACTACTGAGTAATATCGTTGCAAAACCACGAACGTATAAGTTAAAGGTCACTAGAGATAATCTTATGTAATGCTCTTTCGAAGTCATAAGGAAATAAAATTAATTATTTTTTTTTAGGTTAACCACTTTGGTTTGCAAACATTCGGAATGTTACGGTTTTAAACAAGAGTAGAACGATTTAATAATGAAATAAAAAATAAAATGAAAAGCTGTTGTTCAGGGGCATATACGAACCGATCCCGGTCTGTATATATATATACAGACCGTTTTCGGTCCGCATATAAGGCCGTATATACCGGAAATGAAACCCAGGGGGAAAGCTGCTGTGAGGTAATATACGGACCGATCCCGGTCTGTATATGTATATACGGATCGGGATCGGTCCGTATATCATGTGAAAAAAATCCATTCAAGATGAAGAAAAGAGATTTACTTTATTTAATAATTACATAATATTACCAAATAATGCAAAAATATATTTTACCATTCAAATTAAATGCATTTATAAAAAAATAGAATATGTTTAGAATAATTACTTAAAATAATTACTTAAAATATGTAAAAGTTTAATTATATTATAAATGAAAAATTTTAAAATTCACGAAATATAACGTAGGAAAAAAAAAAAGGAAAAGCTACAGTTTTTCTAATATACGGACCGATCCCGGTCTATACACTTAGCTTTCAACTCACTAAGTGCATGCTTGAACTTGATCTTTGCTATCATGTTCCATAAATCTTTTACCTGACCCTCAATCGCAGGATCCCATTCATATGTTTGCTGAAAATAATAGAAATATAAAGGTTTAAGTACCATTTTGGTCCCTCAACTTTTCACTTTGGTACCAAAATTGTCCCTCATCTTTAAAAAGTACCAAAATTATCCTTAAACTTTCATTTTCGGTACCAAAATGATCCTTCCGTCAGTTAAATTAACAGCTGGCACGTTAAAGGGACACATGGCACGTTAAATGAACAGATGATAGGTTAAATGGGTAGCTGGCACGTTAAATGCCACAGCAACAACTTAATTTGAATGACGTGTAAATTTCAGGTAAAA